ACCAGCCTGACCAAGAGGGAGACCCTGTCTCTACTATAAATAGAAAGAAATTAATTGGCCAACTAAAAAACAAAACAAAAAAAGTATATATATAATTAGCTGGGCATGGTGGCGCATGCCTGTAGTCATAGCTACTTGGGAGGCTGAGGCAGAAGGATCACTTGAGCCCAGGAGTTTGAGGTTGCTGTGAGCTAGGCTGATGCCATGGCACTCACTCTAGCCTGGACAACAAAGTGAGACTCTGTCTCAAAAAAAAAAAAAAAGACATCACAGCCATTTTTTTGCTTGCTAGTTTTTTATTGTTATGAAATTAAGAACTTCCCTAAAACTGTGTTGAAATGTGTTTGTTTAGTTAGTCTTTTGTCCTAGTATAATCACATAGCAAATAGGAAGCAAAGGACAAATACCCTCATACTGTTAGTAAGGTTGCTCTAGGCAGTAATGCCTCATGTTTTAGGAAATAACTCTTTTTTGCCCTCTTGCATCTAATTTTCCATGTGTCTCTGCACTCAGGTGTGGCGAAAGTGTAGCATACGGATCTTCACAGTAGCCCAACTAGAAGACAACAGTATCCAGATGAAGAAGGACCTAGCCACCTTCCTGTACCACCTGCGTATTGAGGCAGAGGTGGAAGTGGTGGAGATGGTGAGAGAGCTGAGTTTAAGATAGAAGAAACCACCATTCCACATCTCCCACCCCTATCCCCACCCTGTCTTTTTTGAACCTTTTCTGATTTGGGAATTGTTTGGCTATAAATGTGAATTAATCACCCAGGGCAGGGCGGGGACTCTAATGTTTTGACCTAAGTAGAAGTGTAAGTGATAATGTGTTTGGTATGTTTTTTTTTTGCTTTCTTGTTTGTGTTTATTACACAGCCCTTATATTTCTGCTAGATTCTTATCTGCTTAATATAGGCTATAATTTTTAATTTGTACATTCATGCTTGAAATCACACATGGCTCTTTTTTTTTTTAATAAACCAGCAGTATTTAACAAAAAAAAAAGAGGAGAGATATAGTTTGCATTTTGTATTTCAAGGCAGCATACATAATGGCTAGATAATGGAAAAGACTCTTAGAACTTTAAGATTTTATCTATAGGAAAAATGTTTATGTAGCTCAATGACCAAATAGGGGTCAAATCAGGTTTATAATTGTCATACTTTCTCTGGTTTAATTAGTGAGTGGAAATAACAATGTATAGTTCATCTTACTTTCTCCTTTGTGCTTTTTGCCCATTTTGTGTGATACCTGTGGCAGCATGACAGTGACATATCAGCTTACACTACGAGCGTACTCTGATGATGGAGCACAGGTCCCAGATGCTCCGGCACATGCGACTTTCAAAACAGAGCGGGACAGAGAGGTGAGACCTCACTGCATCGACTAATCCTGGCCCTATGTAGTCCATCAGCCAAAGGGATGATACTGTATTATTTTCACAGGATAACAAATTCTTTCCTTCTCACTTTATCAGTTATTGCACTATAAACTCCATTATTGTTTCAAAATAATTGAAGATGAAGCATGAGAGAAAATTAGGTAGGATAACTATGTTGGACCTTTCTTAGGCACAGTTGGTGAAAGACCGGAACTCAATGCTAAGATTTGACCAGCATTGGCTCGGATGAGGATGAAGAGACAGAAACTTATCAGGAGAAGGTACACATGACTTGGACAAAGGACAAGTACATGGCATCCCGGGGGCAAAAAGCCAAGTCGATGGAAGGATTCCAGGACCTTAACATGCGTCCGTAAGTTTTCCTACTTAACAAGCTTATCAGAAATATAATAACCTAGTCAATGGTACAGATGGTGCTTTGCCTGACACACAAGACAGAGTCTGTTCTTCATTTTACCCTAAATCTAGTCATCTCTTTGTTTGCCTATGCATATTTGCTCTCAATTAACATTGTACATAAATTAAGCATCCTTTCTCTCACATGATTCACCTCCATACTGTGTTCCTAGTATTAATATAAAATAAGCAAGTGTAGAATGAAAAAACCCAGGATATTATCATAAAGAAATAATTTATCACATTACCTATAGTCAAGTAAAAAAGCTCTGGATCTCAGTGTTAAATATTGACTATATAACTTGTCAGTATTTTTCTCTTTGCCTTACTCACCTCTGTTTGTTTCTTCCCACCCAGGGACCAGTCCAATGTGAGGCGGATGCATACAGCCGTGAAGCTCAATGAGGTTATAGTAACAAGTCCCATGAAGCAAAGTTGGTTTTGTTGAATATGCCAGGACCACCCAGAAACCCTGAGGGTGATGAAAACTGTATCCTTTTTAAGAGTGGAGCACCCAGTAGGGAAAATCTTCTTAGTCTCTTTCTTAGATGAGATAACTAGGTGATATAAAAGTCATTGTCAGGCCAAGTGCAGTGGCGCACACCTATAATCCCAGCACTTTGGGAGACTAACATAGGAGGACTGCTTTAGGCTTGAAGTTCAAGACCAGCGTGGCAACATAGTAAGACCCCCATCTCTACAAAAAAATCTGAAAATTAGCCAGGTGTGGTGGCACATACCTGTAGCCCTAGCTACTTAGGAGACTGAGGTAGAAGGATTGCTGGAGCCAAAAGTTCCACCCTGGATGACAGAGTGAGACCCTGTCTCTTTAAAAAAAAAAAAAAAAATCTTTATACCCCATTCCCTCTTTGAGGAAGGAAGACTTAAAAGTCTTAGGCAAGGATTCTTACAAAAGTCGTGAGATTAATCTCTTTTGAGGGAGTTGAGGTGTAATATATTCTCTCTGAACCCTAAAAGACTTTTTAGGTGGTATATTTGCAACAGGATGTCTAATTCAGTGTATAATATTAAATAGTAACAATAAGGAAGTATCAATGGTAGGATGGAGATCTTTGTGGTGATAGACTAGTTCTGTATCTTGATGACATGGACAGTTACATGGATCTACACATATGATACAATGACATTGAATGTACACACATTGTACACACATATGTACACACATTGTACCAATGTCATTTTCTGGTTCTAATATTGTACATGAGATGTAACCATTGGGGGAACAATAGGAGAAGGCACACAGGACTCTTTGTATTTTATTTGAAACTTCCTGTGAATCTATAATAATTTCAAAATAAAAAGTATTAAAAAAAAAGACAAGGCCAGGCAGGTACAGTGGCTAATACCTGTAATCCTAGCACTTTGGAAGGCCAAGGAGGGAGGATCATTTGAGAGACCAGGAGTTCAAGACCAGCCTGGGCAACATAGCAATCTAGTCCCTACAAAAATATATATATTACATAAAATAATATATATATGTATATATGTATTCTATACACTGGATATATATTTTATTTTCAGTGTAAAACCCTGACAGTCCTAGAGACAGAATATCCACATTTTCTTCCTTTGGGCCTATCTGGATCTTGTCTGTAACCTTCAGCAGAGCATATAATCATGTAACATTTCATTTTACTCATTTGTAAAATGGGACTAGTAAATCTAAAGTGCTTAGCATGGTACCTGGTACATAGTAAAGCTCCCAATGAAATGTAGCTGTTGCTGTTGTTGTGGTTGAGTCTCTTCAGCCCTGAAGGATCCATCAGAGTTATTTTAGCTACCTTCCCATTTCTTTCGCATCACTTTTCACTCATAGTTAAGTGTTCTTTAATTATGTCCTATATGGGGAGGGTAGGAATGGGGTGAAGGATAAAAACTTACCTGTCAAGGTACAATGAACACTGTTCTGGTGGTGGGCATGCTGAAAGCCCTGACTGCAGCATTGTAGAGTGTATCCATGTAGCAAAAATTTTTGTATCTCCTTAATGTTTTGAAATTCCTGAATTAAAAAAAAATAATAAAATAATTGAAGCATTAAAATATAAAGAAAGAGAAATATCACCCACTAGAAATTTCCCAGAAACATTCTCCCTGATTCCACATAGGTGCCTGGCCAGTAAATGGTAATCCCATTTGGGTTTAGTCTGGACTACTCCCATTCCAAAATAAAAAAAGAGAAATGGCAGGTTTATACTTTAAATTTCTTACTTTACTAAACATAGAGGAAGTGGAAAGCTAAGCAAAGAGAGGAGCTGAGACCCATACTAATCTTCCCTGTCCACAGAACACTTGCTAAAATTCCTTATCAAGGAGGGAATGACAAAGCTAGCTCACACTTTCTATAGGATGTTTCTGATTGGTTATACTTTCAAATGTGTTTACTAATTTAGTTAATTATTTACCTGTAGTGAAAAATGAGCCATTCTCAAACAAATCACTTTTTATTACAAATTCCAGAGAAGAACCATAAAAGGACATTTATTATATAACAAAAATAACCACATCTGGATGGGACTCCAATCACCAGCTATTTACTAAATAAATGCCCAGAGAAAGATAGCTCATCTTTCATTTCAGTCATCATTAAAAGAAGCAGCTAGAAAAAAATAAAAATAAAATTATATCCTATATGTACTGGTTGCTACATTTCTTTTTGCTAACTTTCTCCTTGATTCCTTTCTGGCTTCACTTACCAATGGTGGACAGTGATGTGATCTTTATTGGGCAAAAATTTAGATCTTCCACTGATTTTAATGCCTCTGGTCCTCTTTCTAGCTTTAACTCTAGTTAAAAGTTCATTACAGCCGGGCATGGTGGCTCACACCTGTAATCCTAGCACTCTGGGAGGCCAAGGTGGGCGGATGGCTCGAGGTCAGGAGTTCGAGACCAGCCTGAGCAAGAGTGAGACCCTGTCTCTACTACAAATAGAAAGAAATTAATTGGCCAACTAAAAATATATAGAAAAAAAAATTAGCTGGGCATGGTGGCACATATCTGTAGTCCAGCTACTCAGGAGGCTGAGGTAGGAAGATCTCCTGAGCCCAGGAGTTTGAGGTTGCTGTGACCTAGGCTGATGCCATGGCACTCTAGCCCGAGCAACAGAATGAGACTGTGTCTCAAAAACAAAAAACGTTCATTATGAATAATTTTTTTGTGTTGCTACTTTGCTTCTATTAATTTTTTATGTTTCTCTTTACCACCCTATATTTTCATTAGATCCTAGTTTTCTCCAGATTAACACCTCTCTTATTCATTCTTTAAAATTCATCATAGATCTAGGAAGTTCATTCTTTACATGGAAAAAACTTCAGTAAATGTATTTTCTACCTGATTTATTTGACCAAAATAAGCATTTCATTACTGTCTGCCAAGTTTCTCTTATGTATAGTAAGGAAACTAATGGTAAATTTTTCTCAGTGGATTCTGCAAATATTCATAAAAATTTTAGGAATATTTACATGAAAATTTTAAAAAGATTATAGAGTTATTAACATTTCTAACTGCGTATTCCGTCCCTGCTTTTCCAGTATTAATTGTCCTCGATCAACTT